CATGTATATGTCCCCACTTCTTTGCTACTTATGACGATTTGAGAAGAAGGCAATAATACTTTTAGTTTATGATACGGTACTTTTAAGTCATCAGCTGTTTGCCATTTTCAAAGGAGCAGACAAGTGTATATATCTGCTCTTTTGTCAACTGCATTTAACCCTTTTTATAAAATTGCTTTTTATAAAAAAAAGTACCTATATCACTTTATTTGCTTGTACATTCAAACAAAAAATAAACTAATCAAAAAAATAATGAAAAAAAATCTGTATCTATCCAATTTGAAATACCCACACTCGCACAATTAAGTTTGAACAAGTAATTATGTAAATGCAATAAAAATTTATTCTCCACTGTAATTTAAGTTAAATATTTATAAATCAATTATGTTTTAAAGCATACTCTCAAGTTTAAAACCTTTGAAGAAATGTTTTTTTCCAGTAGAGTGATTTAAAGAGAAAAAGTTTCAAAGTTTTTGTCTAGTGTTAAAATTATTTATAAGTAGAATATCGTTTTCATTCTATATTATTAATCTTTTGCACTTGAGAAGTAACTCTCAGTAACAACTGTCAACTACAAGATATTTACCACTGTGAATGTTAAATTTTTTTTACCTTACTTTCAGCAACCACTTTAATTAGCGTTTTCATTTACCCTGGGTATTATATGGTACGCGTAAAAACTTTCAGGTTTGCCTATTAAATATTAAATGGTTAAGTTCCTTTTTTTAATCGTTTAAAAAATCTGATAACAAAAAGTTAAAATATTCAATATATATAATTACCTAGAAAAATAGTTCTTGAAACCAAAATGTTAAGAAATAATAAGAGCTGCCATCTAGTGAGCATTTGGTAAAGTATTTAAGATCCAACTGATATGTTTTGAGGTTAAAAATGGTTAGAAAAAATTAATTTTGCTGTTAATAAATGGAATGAATATTACAACTTCACTTAATTAGAGCATTTATTATAAAGTCAATCGCAGTAATATTTAGATTACGGATTACTGTTACAAAGTCGTTCAGATTAAAAAAGTAAGTTATTCGATCAATCAATGGTAAATAGATTAAAAAATCATCACCAAATTAATAAATAATAATTAAAAATAAGGGAAATAAAGAAATGGAACTTTATTAATAAAACTCATATTATTGCTTTTCTTTCAATTCAATTGAAAATCCATGCTTAAAACAAATGTTTAAAAAAAGGCATACTGCGCATGGTATGTATAACAAAAAAAGGACTAAATACTGATGAATACTGAAATAAGAACAATAATTTTAATTAAACTAATATTTAGAATATTAATTTAATTATATAATTAGCATTTTACGAATAATTATATGTGTTTCTATAGTTGCATTTTACATGGGAACCTTACATAAGTTATGTGCATGTTTTATATATGAAGAAAGAGAAGTAATATCTTATTTTCTACAGATAATAAGGTTAAAAAGAAGATACAGGAAGGTGCATAAATGCAACATTTCGTTTTTAAGAGAAAACTGCCGTCATAAAATAAGTTATATAAAATTTGTGCTTTAAAAATGGATATTTTATATTGCTAGTTAGTCTTAAAATAATCTTAAAAGAAATTTATCTTAAAAGAAATCGCAGCCGAATGATTTCCGATATAAATAAAAATGTTTAAATCAATAAGTCACTTTGGTAGCGACAAACGTCTAAATTTTTCAAAATATGTACTAAGAATGAAATAATAAAGTTTCTAAAATATTTAAATTTAATAATAAAAGGATAGCAAATATGCAAAATAAATTCTTATTATGAGGGATAATGTTTGAACAAGTGATAAAATACTTCGCAAAAAAAGAAAGAAAAAAAGATTAATTTATAAGATATTAGAGTTTTGTCTATATATAATATCTATGATCATGGATAGTTCTATATTTCACATTAACGATCAAATATATTTGTTGCTTGAAAATGGATAACTTAGCAAAATCTAAATGAAAAATTTATAAATACTTTATATTTTAATGTTTTTCCGCAGACAATTGTTGAAAATGTTGAGAAGACATTTGAGTTAATAAAGTTGAAATGCTAAAATGTTACATAATAGTTCTATATTTCACATTAGCGATCAAATATATTTGTTGCTTGAAAATGGATAACTTAGCAAAATCCAAATAAAAAATTTATAAATACTTTACATTTTAATGTTTTTCCGCAGACAATTGTTGAAAATGCTAAGAAGACATTTGAGTTAATAAAGTTGAAATGCTAAAATGTTACATAATGGTTNTTCATAATAGTTCTATATTTCACATTAATGATCAAATATATTTGTTGCTTGAAAATATAAATAACTTAGCAAAATCTAAATGAAAAATTTATAAATACTTTATATTTTAATGTTTTTCCGCAGACAATTATTGAAAATGCTAATAAGACATTTGAGTTAATGAAGTTGAAATGCTAAAATGTTTCATAATAGTTCTATATTTCACATTAATGATCAAATATATTTGTTGCTTGAAAATATAAATAACTTAGCAAAATCAAAATGAAAAATTTATAAATACTTTATATTTTAATGTTTTTCCGCAGACAATTGTTGAAAATGCTAATAAGACATTTGAGTTAATGAAGTTGAAATGCTAAAATGTTACATAATAGTTTCATATTTCACATTAACGATCAAATATATTTGTTGCTTGAAAATGGATAACTTAGAAAAATCGAAATGAAAAGTTTATAAATACTTTATATTTTAATGTTTTTCCGCAGACAATTGTTGAAAATGCTAAGAAGACATTTGAGTTAATAAAGTTGAAATGCTAAAATGTTACATAGTATATGAAAATTAAAATATCTACGATAGCTTTTCATTCTTCATTTTAACATGTTAAAACATGTATAGAAAAATATTTAGTTTAAAATAAAGAACCCTTAATATTGCGAAAAAATATACATTTGTAAAAAATAGATAAAAAGTATTGAAGTATTAGTAACTGAGAAACATAAAATAATTTGATAGCTGAAGTATAAGCAACTATGTAGTATAATAATTTGATATCTAACAAAAAGAATATGGAGATTTTTCTAATTATGGAAAAATTAAAGAAAGTTAAAAGCAAATCTAAGACTCTTTGAAATCGAAAGAAACATTCTATTTTTAAAATAGAATTTTCTGTAGAAGCCGTTTCTCCTATATGATACTTTGTCTGCAAAGAAACAAACTTACAGCGAGACTCAGGATTTCCTCCCAAGCTTTTCTGCTAGCTGCTACTTCTGCCGTAATTTCAATTAAAAGGGTGATACAAGTTTGAATGAAATATATTTTGTTTTACAATGTACCTTTTTGTATTTATTTGCAAAAATCAAACAGAAAAAAAACAATGAGATCCGCTGTACATAAGAAGGAAAAAAATAATTATGAAATTTCTTGAAATTAGTAATGATATTTTAAATTTAATAAAATAAAATAAATTTTTTTGCTGCCTGTTTGTAAAAGTTATATGTTTCCTTTTAAGTAAGGAAACACATTCTTTCTTAGTGTTTTCAATCAGATGGATTAAGATTTCAAAATATTTCAAAGTTAAAAATATTCAAATATTTATCTCAACATTTTATTTCTTGAAAAAGAAATGCTTGGAATTTTGTAGCCTGAGTGCCAATGATATTCCAAATTTAATTTAGTGAAAAAAAATATTAGAGAATTTGTTTAAAAATTTCAGAGGTTTTATAATTGAATAGATTTTTAAGAGCGATATATGCTGATGAAAAATCATCTAACGGATGCTTAATAAATATTGCGCATCATTTCAACGCTGCGCAATATCGTCCATCGAAATTGGATATATAGTTTGAATTGGAAAATAGGGAATTATACATGATGAATAAATATTATATATGATGAATGTAGCACAAAAAAATCTTTTTTTTATGAAATGTTTTTTCTGAAATCTGAAGAGTATGGTGAAATTCCTGACTTATGAATTTCATCTAGAGGAACATGGCGCAGTATTTTTCTGAGTAAATATATCTTTCATTTTTAGTATTTTATTTGCAAAATAAATAGTTTTGACTCGAATATATTTGTATCACAACTTCTACTTTTTCTCAAATAATAAATATAATTTTTTTTAAAAGCTTGAACATGAGCTACTTAAACTTTTTTGAAATTAATTTTAAGAAGGTTTTTTAATTTATTACTTATTCTCTTTTATTAACATTTGTGAAAGATTTTCCGAAAAAGTATTTATTTAATTAAAAATGCAGTCATTATAAATTTAATGATAAACTGATTAATAAACAACCTTTTAAAATAAGTTTGATAGATTTTTTTGATATTAGTTATTACAATTTTTTAACTAAGAAAAGCATGTTCTGACCAAACAAATTTTATAATTTTGTAGATACAAAATTTTTTAATACTGTTAATTAAATTATCTTTCTTTAGGTTTTAGAATTTTTTAATTTCTCGAAATATGTGAAATTTTGAGTAAAATATAAATTTTTAAAAAACAGGTTGATATTGAATTTTAGAAAAAAAAATTCAATAATAAAGAACAAATTTCTCGCTAATATTTGCAATATAATTGAATAGTAAAAATAAATTGTAAAATAAAAGTATATTTTAGAAGTTCGTTGTGCATGAAAGCAATAGTATTTTTTCTGCTTAAAAAACAACTGATCAAAATTTCGAAAAGTAATGTCTAATACTAGATTAATATCTCCTAAAAATTATTGAAAAATATTTTTAAACGAGATAACTACAATACTCATTTATTCCTCGAATAAGAATTACCGTGCGTTTTACTGTATTTTATTTTAAGTCAGATATATGATTTTATCTCCGTGTGTTTATTTCGCGTAATATTTTACTTAATTTTAAAAAACTTCTCTGATTAATTCTTCTCAAAAAACTTTGCATGCGCTAATCAAATGCTGCCATCTATTACTACAATTGAGAACTAAAAGTATCTTGTACAATGAAACTGTATAGAAAGTTGTGCCATCTTCCGGAGAATTCTTGAACTACGATTTAAAAATTTATCAGCTGTAAGGATGCGTAATGACACACGGAGGAATTTACCATCCCAAGTTATCTTCATCTTCATCTTTAAATATGCCTTATAAAGAACATATCTGTGAGTTCTTCATTTATCTTAATCATTATAAAGTTACAATTTCAATATTTTTAGGATTTTTATCATTATTCTACAATATGGCGCTTAAGCCTTCTTTATCGTCTGCTAATGATTTTTCTGCAAATTGACTTACAATTGAAAACTATTGCATAAATTTAGTTGTTAAAATTGACAATAATTATAGTTTTTTTATTTCATCTGTAGGATTTAAATTTTATCTATCTTTTTTAACCGCAAATCGAAGAATTTTGGTATATCGATCGGGAAACTTAGGCGTTGCTTGAAAGAATTATAGAAAGGAAAAAAAAAACAATGTTACAGATGTTCTGAAGAAATTATTTCAAACAATGTGTTGTGATAACTAAAATAAATTTAGAATAGTAAATATTATTGGTTATTTATGATATTATTTTTTAAAAGAATTTCTTTTCGGTTCAATTTAAAATTACAATGTTTGTCCTTAATATTTACTGAGGAAATAGCAAACTAGTACTCTTAAGAATTGTGTTACCAAAATAACGTTAATTTTTAATTATAACAGAAAATAATTAAATGTGTTTAAATATATTTACCATGTGACTAAAAAAAATTCTTTATAATGAAATAAGTACTCATGTATATTGTCATGAAAATAACAATCTAACATTCACCAACCAACGCATTATAAATATGCTATTATTCTAGCACAAGAGTTAAAATAATATCATATTACTAAATAAATTTACTATGTTTTTAATTTTTAAATTAAATTTCATAAAACATCAGTAGGTAATTAAATTGTATTATACATACAATTGGATTGCTTTTTTATTCATAAAATTTGAAGCTTCTCTTTTTTAAATTTCTATTATAAGAGAATAAAACACGTAGGTAACATTTACTTAGGAATATATTTTTAATTCCATCTTAATAGTATACTTAAATATAATAAGTATATACTAGCTTGTATACTAGCAATGACACTAGTACTTTATATTATAATATTTACAATGTAAATAATGATTTTAACCTTTTCCAATTGATTTTTCATTTGCGAAATATTATACAGTAGAATAAAAAGCAGTTATTGAAAAAAGTTGTGGGGTTTTTGTTCTTGAGCATTTCTAATATATGATAGATATTTCTAATATTATTTTTAATGTATACAGATCAAAATGCAACTATTTATGTTGTTAAGATATTTTGCTTTGTACAAAACCCTTTTCTCTGAAATAAATGGTACTTATTTATTTCCACGTCGCAAATAGCTATTTTATATATTTAACCTTTCTAATAAAATAAAAAATAAGTATTTTATTTATTTATAATATTATTATTTTATTATTGGCGACTATGTTGTCTGCGCCGGCGAAATGGATGAGTACCAGATAAATTTACGAATTAAAATAATGGAGTTAGCAGCTTTTTCTTTGTGAAACAAAAGTGCGTAAAGAAGTGCAAGATTTTCATGCATACAGTAATGTAAGTCAAATAGAAAGGGAAGTTAATAAGTTTTGAATTCTACAAGATATAAAAATTATTATTTACTTTGCTTTATAGTAGTTTTCTGACATATTATTTCTTTTTTCAAAATCAATTTATCAAAGTAGATTTTGATTTATATAATAAGTTGTTGTAATTTCTTTTACAGTTTCCACTATTACGTCAGTAAAAGGACGTATTATAAAATTCAGATCAATGTAATAAAGTACATTATTTTTAATTTCATCAAACTTTATATAGAAATCTTTTGGCATTATTTAAACTTTCGGTTGATCACCATAAATCATATAAATAATATTTTAACAAAAAGTTTCTTTTAAATTTTTTCTCATTTTTTTCTTAAAGAAAAGTTAAATCAAGTCAGTATTTGGTTCTATGGCGCAACTACAACTACGATTATTAAACAATTCATTAGTATATGAGACATAGCTAATTCGAAACAATCTAGCGGAACCTTTGGATAGATGAAGGTTTGCATTGTCGATAGCCCCTTTTCCTACATATTCACGTCTACTACGGTGGGTGGGCCACATTGAACAGTTAACTTGCTATTTGAGACTGCGTCATCGTCTTCCTCGCGCTTAACTTTTCAATTTCATTTACGCACACTACGGGATCATGCATATACTCGACTTTTAATAGCAACTCAGGTGGGACCGCAGACATAATCGTGAACTTAATGCAGTTCTCACGACAAACGCTCAGAACTTGGTGAACTTAATACAGCTCTCACCACAGGAACTCGAAATCCGGTGACCTTAATACAACTCTCTCGGTCTTTCGCAAATACGGCAACTAGTGATATCTGTTCATCGAATTATATCTGACGTAACTACCACTACGATTACTAAACATCAATTTACTAGTATATAACACATGTTAATTCAATCCAATCTTGGGTTACTTTTTAATAAAAAAAAAAGGTTGAATTTGACTGTAATACTTTCCCTACAGTTTTCTCCCACCATTAACTGAAACACTAGCTTTTTAGCATCACTGTATCGGTAATGTTTAGGAGTGACATTTACATAGCATGGCTGGCACAAGCAAATAAGAAAGGATCTGAAGCAAAGTAGCAATTTCTTCCTTTTTCCCTAAATATTCTCAGTTCAGCCATTTTCCAAAATTTATTTCTATTTCCTTTTATTAGTGAATGTTTTTATTTTAATGTGCGACTTGATTTGACAGAAAAATTGTGTTGCTTATAAAAATGGTGAGTAGTTGTTTATAACATACATTCATGTACAGCATAAAAAAGGAATGTTGATAAACTTTTGTGATTTAATCCTTTTCTTCATTCGCTATTGTATTGCTGTAAAGTAAGGAAAAAAATGATGTAAAGATGCACGTTTGTGCATAATTTTCAATAGCTTCGAAGTAAAATTCACGAATTGAAAAAGTATAAATACATTCAAGCATTTTCTTAATCTTTAAAAACATGCTTTAAAATGTGTTCAGAAACTGACAGACTCAGTGTCTGTAGAATCTAAGCCGTTATTATAAATCTATTACATAATGATTTAATTTCCGGGAGAATTTAACGAGAAATTTACAGAATGGCCAAATTATTATTTTTATTATAGGTATCATTTGTCGAAATTTATAGAAAATAAATATTCATATCTTTAAATATCCTTTTTTTAAAAAATCCCACTTGTTTCCCAACTTTTATATTTTTTACATAAGTATTTATACTCAAGTTTTTGTTATCGGTCAAACTTAACTGCCTCCTCATAAAGAATACCATAGGATAAGTACTAAATCCAGTTTTTTCCAAAATAAAAAAGAAATGAAATATATATAACTAAGATTAACAAAATCTTTTCTATTACTTTCATAAGAAAAGTATACATATATATATATCCATAAAATAAGTAAGATTTGTTGAAAATAACATGCTGGTTCCACTTGATGAAAAATTATGCTTTCCTTAGCTTTTTATTCATAATAATGTAGTTACAAAATTGTTATTATTGGCAGTTTCATTATCAATTGCTTTCTGATTGACTACATTACTTCATAATGATAACATAGTGTTTAGGAATAATTTCTAGCAAAAACAATTATTCTAGTTAAATGTATGTTTTTAACATTTTTAAATGCAGGTACCTTAATTTGACAACTTGGTGTACATAAGTTGCATTAACTCATTTTACAGTTATAACAAAGTAATTAATCCCTATAAAGACACAGGGATGGATTGTGAGACCTTTTCACTTATGCGGTATCATAATAGGGTTAAAAATGATGGTACCCATCACTTTAGTGCCTACAATTCCCGGTCGTCACGGACTCGTGACTGGTGGTCAATATTTAATTGAAATAAATGAATAATAGATAAATTACTCGCCATTCCGAAATACATATCTGTTTCTTGAAGCCGTAAAAAAAGTGCCAAACTATTAATAATGTCAGTGATGCTTAACGATTTAAAGACTGTAGTTTGTGTAATAGTAATTAATATACTAACATTGGTAACTAATAAAAGTACTGTGGTAATAGCTTTTTTAAGGCTTTTCGAAATGGATACCCAATTCATAACATGCTGGTTCCATAAAATGGTACTTTAAATGGTGCATAAAATGGGTGGTTCCATGAATGGTTAGCAAGGCTCAAGGAATTTCAACTACTTTTTTTTCATTTTGTGTTTAATTTAATTTTTTATTTTATTAAATTTTTAATAATTTATAAGAATCAATAAAATATAAAAATATTAAAAAAAGTAGAGGTCTACATTTTTGGCCATTTTTTGCTTGCACCATGTTAATCGAAAAATACCTCTTTGTAGATTGATAATAACCTTTCTTACCTTTTCAAATTTTCAAAATTGAAGTTATTTTAAATTAATGCGAGATTGCAGAAGTGCCAGTTTCACATGTAGAGCAAAATAAGTTTTATACTTCTTTTTCTAAATAGAGAAAATATTTAAGTTTTGGAATGATTTAAAAAAAAACATAATTTTATTGGTGAGGGAAAATGGCACCCGCCAAATAATGAGAAGATAAAAAGGGAAGCTTACATAACACGCTATATTTCCTTTAGTTGAAACATTAAACAACTTGATCTGAAGTTCAAATATATCTAATTTATAGTCTATCTATTTTTATCTATTTTATATATATCTATTTTTGGTTACCAAATCTCGTCGAAGTAGAGTTCGCAAAACAAAACATATGACGCTAGTGCTGTCATGCAATAATGCTATTACGTAAAAGGTGATTTAAATATTGCTCGTCTTGTCATATCTTCAATTACTTGGTAAGGTCTCAGAACTTGAAAATTTTAGTTACTTTGAAGCATAATTATATGTTCATTTAATTTAAAAATGGTCACTTTATTTAACATTGAATGAAATTTCTCACTGAATAAATAGCGTCGTTATTAATTTAATGCAATTATCCGAAGGCAATTTAAATAGTGTCGTTTTCTCTTGGCAACTTCTCAAAGTTCGCAAATTTTAACAGTATTACTTTGTAGTATGACTATCTGCTCGTTTGAATTTAAAAATAATTATTTTA